CCCCCCCCAGCCCTGCCCACACCGGGAGCGAGCAGCCCCACGGGGACATAGGGTACTCCTCCCGCCAACCTTGCAAAAGCGCCCTGCACAAATCTTCAAAAAGTCCTTCGTGCCCGAGTTGCCCTGAAAACTGGAGGCGGGGCGTGACAGGGTGGAGCTTCAGGGGAAGGAAAAGGAGGCCCCACCGCACGCCGGGTCCGCACAGGATCCCCAGCGATGTCTCCACCGCAGCTGCTGCTGTCCCTGCTGTTGCTACTGAACTTGGAGCCTGCCAGGGCCACGCTAATCCGGTATGCTGACCCCACCACCACCCCCAGACCTGGACAGGTTCTCCGCCTCTTGCCCTTTGAGTCCGGGGCTCCCTGGTTCAGTGACTCCCAAATCGGGCACCCCTGGGACTCTGTTTCCTCTTCCTTGGGTTCCCGGATCTCTAACCTGGGCTCACACCCAAGGGCCCGCCAAGGCTGGAGTGCAGGGGCACACTCATGGCCACCGCAGCCTCGACTTGCTGGGCTCAGGCGATTCTCCTGCCTCAGCCTCCTGAGTAGTTGGGACTACAGATGCATGCCATCATACCCGTCTGATTTTTTTATTTATTGTAGAGGTGAGCTCTCACTATGTTGCCCAGGCTGGTCTCAAACCCCAGGGCTCAGGCAATCCTCTCACCTTCACCCCCCAAAGTGCCAGGAGCACAGGTATGGGCTCCCCGCACCTGGTCGAGACTCTTGATTAAGGACTGCCCTTCCCCCCTCTCAGGACATGTTTCTGGGATGCCCCCGCAGATCCCACACTGATGATCTCCTCTTGGGTTCTCCAGACATATGACATAGTCTCTGACCTTGGAGACCCAGATAGGTAACATTTAAACAAAGATGCATCCACATTCACACCCTCCAAGCTCTTACTGCCTCAGGAAGTCCAGTTTCTCACACCAAGGTGGCTCACACCAGTGATCCTAGCACCTTGGGAGGCCAAGGCAGGAGGATCACTTGAGGCCAGGAGTTTAAGATTAGCCTGGGCAATACAGAGAGACCCCCATCTCTACAAAAATTTAGCAGGCGGGCTTGGTGGTTCAGCCTGTAATCCCGCACCTTTGGGAGGCTGAGGTGAGTGGATTGCCTGAGACCGCGGG